TCGGAAGACCTTTTCTAACGTTTATTTATTTATTTATTTATTTATTTATTTATTTTGGGGGGACAGAGAGAAACAGAGCATGAACGGGGGAGGGGCAGAGAGAGAGGGAGACACAGAATCGGAAACAGGCTCCAGGCTCTGAGCCATCAGCCCAGAGCCCGACGCGGGTCTCGTACTCACGGACCGCGAGATCGTGACCTGGCTGAAGTCGGACGCTTAACCGACTGCGCCACCCAGGCGCCCCCGGAAGACCTTTTCTAAATCAACAGGGACACTCACCCCACGGGCACCCTGCAAAGCCCCTTATGGGCCAGTGGCTCCCGCAGGCCACTCCAGAGTTTCCCCAGCCTGGCTCCCCCAGAAGCCTGCAGTCCCGGGGCAGCAGGACCAAGTGTCCCAGCAACTCTTGCCAGGCACCGGAGATTGGGTCTGGTGACCAGGATGCATTTGTCCAGCCCATGCATAAGTACCCCCCAGGGTTCCCAAAGATGACAAGGACACCAGTGTTTACGTTGGTGCCTGCAGACAGGGCCACGGGGCTGGGTGGCCACGCTTAAACAAGCAATCTCCAGCTGCAATGGTATCTAATTGTGCAAAATAATGATGGGGGTTGGGTGGTGGGTGCCCCACGACCATGCCTTGCCTCCTGGTGACGGAGAGAGCCCCTAGGGCGGGATTTTCGTTTGAGCTCAACGTGCACCCTTCGTGCTAACTGGGAACACTTTGCAATCGACGGTGTCTGGCCTAACGGGGCGGCCTGGGTCCCTTCCTGCTCAAGGGCACACTTCTAAACCGTTTTCAGTTTCCCCCAATTTTAACCGTGGGCCCGGCTCTGGACTTCGGTGCTGGGTACTCGCTACGCTTGGCAGGCCAAGCAGCCACTCGTGCCAGCTGGGGAAGAGGGGTTGCAGGGAAGGGGGTGTCCCTTGGCAGCCCCGGCCGGCCCCGGAGGCTGGAGCGGGAAGGTGACCACCATGCTCCCTCTCCGGGCGGCACCCCTGACGGTGGCGGCTCCTCGGCCTACAGAGATCCCGCTGTGTGCCGGCTGTGACCAGCACATCCTGGACCGCTTCATCCTCAAGGCGCTGGACCGCCACTGGCACAGCAAGTGTCTGAGGTGCAGCGACTGCCACGCGCCCCTGGCCGAGCGCTGCTTCAGCCGCGGAGAGAGCGTCTACTGCAAGGACGACTTCTTCAAGTGAGTGCGGCCGAGCCCCGGCGGGGAGGGCAGGGGGGAAGTCTGCTCCCGCCAAGCCGGCCCCTCCCGCCACCCATGTGGGGAGGGGGCAGGGGTTGGGGCAGCTCCACCGCAGCCCCGGCCTGCGAGGCCTGGCGCCTAATTTTTCCTAGGTAATTAATTTTGTAAATCATGGGAACAGTCGTTCAAAAGATAACCCAGGTTTGCAGAACTCGATTGGATTTACTCCCTCTTAACTCTGGTCTTGTTTTTGTCCTTAATGCTCGGGAGGGGGTGCTTTCCAGGCACAAGCCTCCGGGGTCTAAGGGACCTGGCCCACGGATCCAGCTTCCTGACCCGGTCCCCAGGGTCCCTGGGTCCCTTCCCTGTATTCTGTGCGGCTCCGCCGAGGCTGCCGGGGCCGGTGATTTAGGGGCAGGGCCGGGGTGAGCCTCCCTCCTGAACCGCCCAGCGCGGCGCCCCGCTCGCCGCTCTCCAACCCGCTCCGGGCGAAGGAGCCGCCAAACGCCACGCTGAGCCGCGCCCTGTGCGTCCCGCAGGCGGTTCGGGACCAAGTGCGCCGCGTGCCAGCTGGGCATCCCGCCCACGCAGGTGGTGCGCCGCGCCCAGGATTTCGTGTACCACCTGCACTGCTTCGCCTGCGTCGTGTGCAAGCGGCAGCTGGCCACGGGCGACGAGTTCTACCTCATGGAAGACAGTCGGCTCGTGTGCAAGGCGGATTACGAGACGGCCAAGCAGCGCGGTCAGTGGGCGGGTCCTGTCCCCGTCTGCAAAAGGAGGCTGGCGCCCGTCGGGTCGGGGCGCGGAGGGATCCCCACGACCAGCGCCCACCGAAGCGCGCTCGCTCGGGGACGCGAACTTAAGCCCCTTCCCTGCAGGCCTGCGGTGGGGACTGGGGCTGGAGCCGGGTGGGGACAGTTCGCAGAGCGGCCGGGGTCTCAGCGGCCTTCTCACTCGCGGGCGCGGGGAGGCTGGTCTGGCTTGGGTGGATTATCACCCCTGGTCTGAGTTATCGCCCCGAACCCTTGACCGCGAGGATCCGGCCTTACCCGCAGCCTCGGAACAAAGAACAACCGGGAGGAGGGGAGGTGGGAGGTG